CGCTCCCTGCCACTCACCGTGTTGTAGTTCCAGATGGTTTTCCATGATAAATCTTTGCCCGATTGCTGGATAATTGCCACACGCTTTTGACTATTGATCCTCACTGTTTGTGCAACGCCAGTGATGGAGATTTGGGTGTCTCCATCGACGATGATTTCCTGTTTTCCATTTATCTGCTGATACTAGCAAATTAAAGTATACACTTTTAGATTGTGTAATTAGGGAGTGACCTCCCCAAAGCTTTAGAGAAATCCCTGGGGGATTAGCATAAGTGCTTCCCGCAGGGAGTGCCAGCAGGGAGCTCAGGATTTTCCCAAGTACAAAGGATCAAAGTTGGGCAAAGTTGCGGCAAAGTTGGGCAGTAGCCGTAAGAATTCTTTGCCTGCCTTCCCTGAATCATTGCTGCATCTTCCAGCTGCCGTGTGGTGCCTTTAGAGTTTCATCTCTGAGAGGAGATTTCAATTTCTATCCACCCAGGGAATGGTGAAAGAATGAAGGAGATCTCCCAAAGCAGGGGATATAGAAAAAGCAGCTGTGCAGGTGGGAATTGGTCACTGTACTCACCTGTACTCCACCAAGGGCTGGAGTCAGGACGAGTCCAAGAAGGACTGCAGTCAAAATCTGAAATGAAAATCAAATACAAAAGTGTAACTGCAGGTCTGGCTGATGAATCTGGTCATGAGAATCCTCAAGCCCTTTTCCTGATCTGCTGTTTAAGTGTCCTCCTTGGATCCTCTTTTGCTTTCATCCTGGGATTGCAAGAGTGCCCAAAAGTGAGTCACCCTCGCTTTGCCCCAGAGTGCTGCAAACTGGACACGTTTCACAGTTGCTGTTTCAAGAGCTGAATCTCAAGTTGCTTCTGAACAGGCACACACAGGTATTTTACAAGAGTGAGGAGAAAGCTTTTCCATTTCTTCTGCTCTGCCATACAGGGAAGTGGTTGATCCATTAATGCAGTGCTCCAGTTTTGCAAAGGCATTGACAAAAATGGATGTGGACAAGGCTTCGTGTATTCTGCATAATGGAGAGGCAAGCTGTGGGAAAACTCCTTACCTCATCAGCTGGTTTGGCTAATAAGGGCTGAGCTGCTCACTCTGGAGGAGCAAAATGTCCCCAGAGAAACCTCTGTGCTCTGAGAGAGGCACTTCTGAGAGAAAGGCAATGGGATTGAATCAAAGGTTTAGTTTATAAGGAAGAAAAGCTTGTGTACTCACAGAGAGCTTCATCCTGACTGCAGAGCTGATGCTCCTGCAGGTAGAAAGAGCGGTGTGAACCTCCCACCTTATATATGTTTTCTGAATTCATGGTGGAAGGGCTGAGTGTTGAAATAAAATTATTTTGTCATTTGTTTCCCTGTCACTTGTCACTGAAAATTATTTCCTGCTGTAACTACTTGATAAACATGGGGACTGTACTTTTGCCCATTTTGACCTGCTGGAGTCTGATAATTATCACATAGGAATCCATTTGCAGTGAAAAATTAAATAGGTTTATAGTATTTTTCTGACATGTACTAATTACTTTTGAAAATTCACTTTAAACTTAGGACCGGAGATATCCTGGGGTTTAAACAAGGACATAAAAAGATTTGCATTAGACAGAATGAGTAAAAGTCTTTGCACCTTCCAAAATGCACTGTGTGTTATCAGGTAACCATAACACCCACTAAAATACAGCTGTGGGGGCTGGTACATCCGTGCCTCAGTGGACTTGGCAGAGCAGCTTTACTAATTTACAACTGTTGACATATTTTTCCCCATAAGTGCATGAAGGTAGAGCAGTTTTGTGAACAGTGGGGCTCTGCTGCCATGTTGGAATTCTGGCTTTCAGCGAGATCCTGTTGTAGAAGGCACTGTCCCTTCCAGAAGCACCTGTGCCCTGCAGTGCCCTGCACGGAGAGCAGGGAGGCTCTGGTTGCAGCCTGGCTGCGGGTATCCCTGTTTGCCAGGCTCTTGGCACGAGATGCTGCACCACAGACCCTGCTCAGGTCAGACCCCGGCTGCCTCGGGGCACTTGAAATCATCATCTGTGACAGTCTGGCCCATGGTGTCCAGGGGCTCAAAAGCCCCCAGAGAGACGTTCCCATTGACTCACAATAGGATAAGGGAAGAGGGCTGTGCCTGTGTGATTTCAGGGAAAATGCAGTGTAGAGTTGGAAAAGGAGAGGAGGGTCTCTCCAGAAACTCCAGGCAAGGCAGACAGGAAATTCTGTTTATATACTGCAACCCCATGGTTGCTTTTCCTTGGAAGTGCTAAAATACTCTTGGGTACAGTTTTGCTTTGGTTTTAATGTCAGTTGACCCTCAGAGACCCCAAAAGCCTTTTCCTGAACAGACCAAGCTGCTGTGTCCTTTCTTTAGAGAAACTCTGGGCTGTTCCTGAGTGGGTAAAGTGTCTCTGAGTACCTCCCGTTAAAGGCCAAGGAAAGGGCCCCTGAGCAAGGAGGGAAGGTGAAGATCTGCTGTGTCCCACACAGACTGAGTTACTGATGTTTTAGATGAAGAAACTCTGCCCAACCTTTTTGCCTTACTTTTGGCCTAATTTGACTCTTTCAAATTTCCAACTTTAGTTGGTCGGGGGATCCTTCTTTTCTTCCTGTGTTAAACCTTTATGAAATATTCTTAGATAATTTCTGTTTTCAACTCCAGACTGCATTTAATACACTTTTTGATTCTGTCATTTGCTCCTTGATTTCTGGGTTGATCAGAGAGCAATAAGTGTATCTGTCTATTTGCAACTGGCCATATTGCACCACACTGCTTATTTCACCATTTGCTTCTAGTAGTGATGAATAATTGCTCAAGGCAGCATGTGAAATCTCCCTGGGAAATTGTACAGGATGAGGTTTAAATGCCAAAATTGGGATTTTACAAGAACATTCGTTTATCAATTTGTCTTTGGAATTGCTTCATATTTAATTTAAAGAGTTAGTAAAAACACAGCATAGACCAAGGTAGGTTGATGATAAATTTTACTGATACCCAACAGCCTCCACACAAAGCAGAACAGAGACAGATAAATGATTGAACGTATGATCAAGAGAAGAATATCAAGGAGAAAAATCTTTCTTATGGATACACAGTTCTATGAATTTTCTTCCTCAAACTTTGTCAGGAAAAATCACAGTAATAAACAGGCAGTTCATTAATTCTGACATTCAATCATGAAACATGTCGTTCTAAGAAGTTTGATCCTGAGAAGTTTGATCCTCTTAAGAAGTTTGATCCTGAAAGAAAAGGAAAAAGTGATTAGATTTGCACTGAGAAAATAAGAAAGTAGCTGAAATGCTTCCAACTAGTTTCAACTAAAAAAATCCAGACTTATGTCAAGAGCTAGAGCCCAGAACCTTCTTGAATAAAGCTGGTCTCCAGGTTGTATGCAGAAGAGTGGCAGACCTGCTGCATTTCCTTATGTACATATTCACTGATGTATAAAAAGTCATAGAATACCACAGGATTTCAATAATTGACTTGCTCACCTTTACTTGAATCATTTTTGTAGTCTTGTTAACCTACCTTTATTTTGGAACACAAAGGCTGTCAGCAGCAGACTCACCAGGAGCTGGGTAAGCCAGGTAAGAGGGAATTCCTCTGCACAGAGCTTGGATGCGTTTTCCATAAGGACTCAAGCTCTGGAGTCTGTTCCTTGAGATGATGAAGCGATTCTCTCTGGGTGGCAGTGGGTGAGGCTGAGATCCCTGAGCATCAAAGAAACAAACCCAGAAAACAGCATTTAGGAAAACCAAGAACAGAGCTCAGAGCCTGGGGATGAAGGGATGGAGAGCAGCCCTGGGAAGAAGGACTTTGGGTGTGCTGGTGGGTGAGAGGCTGGACCTGCCCCATCGACGTGCACTCCCAGCCCTGAGCCGTCCCGTGCCCTGGGCTGGTCCCACAGCGTGGGCAGCATGAGGGGGGCAGTTCTGTCCAGAGGAGGCCACAAAATGATCAGAGGGATGGAGCAGCTCTGCTGTGGGGAAAGGCTGAGACAGTTGGGATTGATCAGCCTGGAGAAGAGAAGGCTCTGGGGTGACCTAATTGTGGCTTTCCAGGACCTGAAGGGAGCCCACAAGAAACATGGAAAGAGACTATTTACAAGTGCCTGGAGCGCCAGAACAAGGGGGAATGGCTTCCCACTGCCAGAGGGCAGGTGAGATGGGATATTGGGAAGGAATTCTTCGCTGCGAGGGTGGTGAGCCCTGGCTACAGCCACAGCCTCAAACAGAGAAGCTGTGGCTGCCCCATCCCTGGAAGTGTTCAAGGCCAGGCTGGACAGGAATGGAGGTTATTCATGGGCAATGCAACTTTTGCAAGGACTTTGAGAGAGATTCAGCTATAAAGCCAAGAAAGTTCTCTTCAGCTCTTGGGGTCTTTTCTCCTTTGCAGGTAGGAACAGGCAATTGATTGGCTTTTCACAGGCAATAAATTGGCTTTCACACCACTTTCATCCACCATCCTACCGTGTCACCTTGAGGTGCTGTAGGAAACCGTTTGCCAAGCCAAAACCTCCTGCTGGTTGAAGCAATGATGCAGGTGTTCTTTGAAAACACTTTAGTTGCAACGTAGCCCTGTTAAAATTAAACAGAAAAGCCCTTTTTGTTGCAAACAGAGAAAGAGAAGTGGATTGCTAGAAGAAGCACTGGTTAAAACAAAGGCTTTGTAGAGTGCAAACAGTCATAGGGAAAAAAAAATATTGGTCCTTTCGATTATATTGTTCAGGTAAATGTGTTATGGAGGCCGTTGCCTCTTCCAGTAATGCCATGTGTATGATGTGTTCTCCTGCTTAAGGCAGGTGAAGGAATTTGCTGCTGGAAAGCTCAGTGCAGCTCCCAGTACAGCAGAACCAGCCCCGTGGCTGCAGGAACATGTTTTTAAGAGTCTCCCCTAAAATCTGGTGAAGTTTTGTTGAAACTTCGGTGTTTTTCAGAACCCTTCTGTCTCTTGTCATTTTTTTGGAGCCATAGTGGCAGCTACTTACAGTCTTGAAGTCCCAGACAGTTTTCCAGGCCTCAGAGCCCTCCTTTGGGTCGGTTTCAGAGTGGTTTGAGTTGTCACTGTGGTGCCCATTCTCAATGTTCTGATTTTTGGAAAAGATTAAAGGAGGTAAGGATGAAGCTTTGGGGATTCCCAGGAGTGTTTCACTGAATAAAGCAATAGCTCTAGTAGCCGTGTTTTGGGAAATTATTGCTCCTGGAGATCATTTTAAAGGGGAGATAATTTCTGACCTCAGAATGAAGACTTGGAAGCCCTTTAGTTTCTAAGCAAGTAAAATAATTCCTTGTTGTTCTTTCCCCACTAGGAGTTTGCAGACACCAGATTACTTACAGTATTGCCCTGGATTTTGTGGTCAGATCATTCATGCTGATATTTATTTCTCTCCACACCACTACTTACAGTGGTTTTGCTCATCTCAGGACAGACTTTCCTGATTTCATATATGGTAACTGTTTTTTTCCCTTGGTACATCAAGCACATTAATATTTCCCTTGGTGTGTAATAATAATAAAAATGTAATTTTCTTCTAAGCAACACACTTAAAATGCAGCTTCACTCACAGAACTGTATTTGTCAGAGGCAACAGCTAAAGGCCACTAATTTTTGTGGCAGAAGTGAAGAGCTGTGTGTAGCTCTATCCTTACCTTGTTGGCAAGAGCTGGAGCCAGGAAAACTCCAAGAAGAGAAGCAATCACAATCTGAAAAGAGTATTTGAATACACAACATTTTAACATTGTACTGCTTATCTTCCATCAAGTTATTTGCTGTCTTTAAATAATTTTTACTTCCATTTAACTTTGTACACAGGATCAGCACTTTCTGCAGGGGGACCTGGCTGAAGAGGATTTAAATATGCAGCAGAATTTTTTAAAATGAGTTTCCATGAGATCATCAATGCACAGAAATTGCCCTGAACCAATAGGTTCTAAAACTTCCCCAGCCCCAGTCCAGTAAACTCTATGGAAAAAGGTGTTCTGAAATAATTTCTCTGAAAGAGTGAGCTTTTCACCTCGAACTTTTGATCAGACATTGAGCAGATCGATGAAATGTCCAGGAGCACCTATTGTGAAGAGCTGGAATGTGGGTGCCAACTCCAACTCTGTAGTCAGCAGCAATGGGACCTGAGCACCCTCACAGAGATTTCATCCTCCAAATACAGAGCTAATAATCTAAGGGTTGGCACAAGCCTTTCTGTTCAGAGAAATGTGACATTAAATATTTCTATCCCCTTTATAAAGTCAGAGTTTCAGTGACTTATATGCTTGTTATTGTCCAAACTACTGCTGGTCACTTTTGGAGAGATTTAATATTGTTATTAAGATAAATTCTTTTGCGGTAACTATTGTTTAGAATTATTCTCTTGGAGACAATCCCTTGAATATTGAATCAGTCCCAGATTTCATCTCCTTCAAAGGAGGATTTTGACGAGAAAGATCCAAGTATGACTCACAATATTTAACACTAACACTTGGGACTTTATCCTGCACAGTTCCAGGCTGCTGTAAATACCCCGGCACCACCGTCCTGCACGTGGAGTCTCTCATGGTTCTTCTCCTACGCTCTCAGCACAGCTGTGCCCTCACTTAATGGACCTTGCTGAGACTGTTGACTTGCCTCTGAGTTGTGAAGAAGACAATATTGTCCTTTGGACGTTCCACGTGTGTGTCACCCCTGAGACAGAGCACTTCTCTCTTTCACGTTTGAGTGGGCACATGGAGTTACATCCCTGCCAGAAGGGATGTTTCACCCATGCAGTCCCCACCCCTCTGGCATTTTCTCTCTGTGATCCCTGCAGAAATCACTAAGAGGTCACTTGGTGCCAAGAAAGACTCAAAACCATTTAAACTGTCCAGCCTTAAGAGTTTTATGAGAAAGTGATTCGTCTACTCACAGTGAACTTCATTTTGATGGTAGGCCAGGCAAGCTCTGCTGGTAATTGATGTGTACTCTTAGTTTTTATACATAATACCCCAAAGTTCAATGTGAAAATGGGTTTATCTTATTGGCAGGTGCCCTGTGTTCACAGAAGCATGACGGGTTTCCTGGGGAAGTGCTCTGATAAGAGGAGGCTTTGATAGCAGCCTGATTGAATTCATTGCGTAGAGGGAGATGAAAGAAAACTTGTCATGGTAAGTCCAGAGTATTTAACGGTAACTTTTAAATGGAAAGGAATAATGATCAGAAGCAGAGACCAGATTCCCAGTAGACTTGTAATGACACTTTGTGCCTGCGTGGCAAAGGACTCGACCTGACATTGTACCTATAACCAAACCCACCATTCAGGTCACGGCAGGTGGTGATCTTGCTGTGTTAAAAATGTTGCCAGTCCTTGGAGATCATGAGGCTGGTTCTAAATCACAGAAATTCCTGAGTTCTGTTGATGACCTTCCCTTCTGAGCTCGTTCAGTCAGGATCTGCTTTCTGGTCCTCTGCTCCTGCCTGATGCCTGGCTTGGACTCCCTGAGTGCCAAGGAGGTGGAGCAGTCTGGTTCTGCTTCTCATCTCTTTCATATCCCCTTTGCAGTTTGCTGGAGGTGTCAGATATGGTGAATGAAAGTAATAAAATACCAAGGGAAATGATTTATGGGACTGATTTGTGGACGGACTCAGGTATGTTCTTAGCCTCCTAGACCCCAAATACCTATCAAAGTCTTATTTTATGTGTCACAAAATCCTCTCATAGCCTCTGGAAATTCCATTAGTGGAGTCATTCTCAAGAAAGGCAGGAGAAACTGGGCTGTATAATCCTCATCCCTGCAGTGCCCTTAGCAACTGTGAGAAGCAGCTTTGTCCATGTCTTCCAACAACCAGAGCCAACGTGGCCATTGCAGCAACGTGTCACACTTGGACCCCTGCATCTGCACATCTTCCACCAGCTGCTGATTGCTTGAGTAGTTTGTATGGTAAAGGCACAGCTCGAGCACTTGCCATGAAGCTTGGCTTACAGAACTAATGAGGCCAGTAGAATAGCCAGGAAAAAGGGCAGGGAATGGGACTTTCACTGGGTAAGCCCCTGGTCTTTTTCCAATAAAAGATTGTCTCCTCTTTCAAGCTCTGCTCAAGGCATTCTGTTTTTGTAGTAAAATTCTTGTACCCCTGTGCAGCAAACTCCCAAGGCCAAGAGTCATTCCAGTTTTCACCCTTTCCTCAAATTAATGTTTCGTTCTGGACACACGCTTACATTTTCATGTGGGTTTTTTGCTCGTTACTCTCTAGCAAGAGTAAAACTGCTGGAATTCTTTCTGGTTTCATCCTGGAAGCTTGAGCTTGATATTTTCCTTTGTAACTGTGGAACATTATTAATTCTACTTGTCCTGTCCTTGAGCCACAGAGTTTTCTCGGCTATGTCACCCCACCTTTATCTAGAGCATGGCCCACCCGAGTGCAAATGGGAGCATGTTGGTTTTTTGAGGTGTTGCTTCACTCTTTACTTTTCTCCCACTACCTCCTCACTCCCTGATAAAGTAAATATTTATGAAAAGTACCTGGAGAAAAACCCTGTGAGTCACCAGAAGAGTTTATCGTGATCATATAATCTCCTCTTGACTTGATTGAATCCTTCTCCTTTAGATGTGAAAACTCTTGTTGAGCACTCAGACTTGAACTGAAATGGTGCAATTATTCTTTTCACTTGATGCTCAAGATTCTTTGGTTTAAATGTTTTCTAGTGGATGATAGTGTCAGTTAATGGGTCAAATTCTTATATTAAGAGTAATTCTGTAGCCTAATGATTTTTCATCAGGGTAAACTAGAATGTATTTGAAAATATTTGGCCTTACAAAAATAACGGAGAAATGAATGTTCCTGTGATGATAATCGTTGCTGTGCTGGGACACCATGTTATGTGTTCTGCACATTTCTCAGATTCCATTTTCTGCTCACTTCCCTCCTACAACCAACCTGCCTGCAAGTGTAACAGCTGGAGAAAGAGTGGTTTTATTTGGGGAAAGGTGTGAGGGGCTTCTCTTAGATCAGAAGTATGGAAAGCACAAGGACTTTGAGAATGTGGCATCACTGGAAAATGTTGGGCTCTCCAAGAGGTTCTGAGCCACAGCTTCGTAAGCCAAACCTCCCTCTGCCTGAGGCCTGGGGAAAAAGTGAAATTAGAGGGGTTACAGCCCTTCTTATGTAGCTCCTTCCTTCAGCTACTTCATATAGAAGGTGCTTCGAGGACTCGAGCACAGGGAGTGGCAGTGACTGGGGTGACACCAGACTGTGACCTGTCACTGCTGGGGTCCCACAGGGCTCCACCTTGGGCCCTGTGCTCTTCAACATCTCCAGCAATGACTTGGACACGGGACTGGAAGGGACACTGAACAAGTTTGATACAAAACTGGGAGGAGGCGTTGAGTCCCTGGAAGGCAGGGAGGCCCTGCAGGGAGACCTGGATAGATCAGAGGCCTGGGAATCACCAACCATGGGAAGTTCAACAAGGGAAAGTTCCAGATTCTGGCCCTGGGATGGAACAATCGCAGCTGCACGGGCAGACTGGGGAATGAGATGCTGGAAAGGAGTGCCAGGAAAGGGACCTGGGAGCAGAGAGACCTCGACACATCAGAGCTGGACAATCCCCAACCGTGGGAAGTGGAACAAGGGCAAGGGCCGGATTGTGCCCCTGGGCCGGGGCAGCCCTGGCTGTGTGTGGGCTGGGGATGAGAGGCTGGAGAGCAGCTGCAGGAAGGGCCCTGGGGGTCCTGGTCCATGGCCAGTTGTTCCTGAGTCAGCAGTGCCCTGGCAGCCAGGAGGGCCAACGTGTCCTGGGGGCATCAGGGAGGGGATTGTCCCGCTCTGCTCTGCCCTGGGGCGGCCTCCCCTCAACATTGGGGCAGTTTGGGGGGACACAATGGAACAAAACCATTAGAGAGTGTCCAAAGGAGGCAACGAGGATGGGGAAGGGCCCTGATTTGAAGCCGTGTGAGGACACTGAGGGCACTTGGTGTGTTCAACTGGAGCAGAGGAGACTGAGGAGAGACCTCCCTGCAGTTCCAATGCCTGGGCAGGGGCAGAGGAGGGGCAGGGACTGAGCTCTGCTCTGGGGGGACCAGGGACAGCACCCAGGGAATGGCTGGAGCTGTGTCAGGTCAGGGTCAGGTTGGATCCCAGGACAAGGTTCTTCCCCCAGAGGCTGGTTGGCACTGCCCAGGCTCCCCAGGGCAGTGGGCACAGCCCCAAGGCTGCCAGAGCTCCAGGAGGGTTTGGATGATCCTCTTGGGCACAGGGGGTGACTCTGGGGATGGACCTGTGCAGGGTTGAGGGCTGGACTGATGATCCTTGTGAGTCCCCCCCACCTCAACACATTCTATGACTCTGTGCTGATTTCAGGTATGTTCCTGGGAGTTGTGTGATAAACCGTGGGGGAAAAAGCCTCCAAAAAGCAAGGCTTTCCTATTGGAAGTATATCCAGGTTTTGCCTGAGACAACCAACTTGGACTGTGTTCTCTCTTGTAATCGTGTTAATTAGTCAAATGCTTTTCAGAAATCAATCTTTAATTTTTGTTCTTGTCTGATGGGATGAGCAGAATTCAGTCAGTCCAATAGAAGCTGAAAACTATGAGATCGTGGTTACTGCTGAAGTTCTCCTTCAGTGAATAACTGTGGATCTCCCAGGTTGCTCTGCCCTTACCTGTGTCTAAGCACATTGATGCTTAGGAAGGCAGGAGCTCTTGTTTCTTGGGTGTTTTTCAGAAGAAATGAGTATATGAAGGCATGGAAAATTAAATAGAAAAAAAAAACAAACCTAAAAGTAATGGAAAATTAAATTCAACTTTCCCTTTAATGCATTTAGAACTTATTAAAGCTTTTTGTTTTAACTTATAACTGACTGTTATATTCCTTCTGTGAAAGGCTTATTTGACTGCTGAAATCTACGCTGAGTATTTCTGACATAACTGGAATCTTAGAAACAAAGAATCTTTTGAGAAGGGACAGGGCCAGCTCTTAAGAGGAGGGTAACTTCAACCTAATTAGTCTAACTGTGCTTATCACAATTTGATATCTGTTTATGTGCTTTCTGATACATTGCTTGGCAGCACAGCTTTGTTACACTGGAGATAACCTTTTCTTGTGTGGACTTAGGTGGCATAAAGCAAATGTGTACAATTTCCTTTTTTTTTTGTTTTCCATTGAGGCCTGTTTGCTGAGAGAGATTTCTGTACAATCTCCTTCACTTTTTTCCTGATAACAGAGATTACAGAAATGTGTTTGCTGTTAGTTTGAGTTCTTGTTTTATTTGGAGGGAACCGGCCTCAATTATGACCTTTTAGTAGAAAGCAGAGTGTGATTCATCAAGGTCCCAGCACTGGCTGGGGTGGAGTCATGGGTGAGGAGGAGCCCAGGCAAGGTTGCAGTCACCAGAGAACACTTCTCATGGCAAAATCTTGTGGTCATTGGATTTTCATAAAACACAGCAATCAGTGGCACCTTTGAAGGGGGAATCCCCATCCTGCTCCTTTGGTTCTGTGACCTTGTGTTGAAACTACACGGCCTCTGAATTTTCCCATCACTCCTTTGAATGCTGAGGAGGCCAGAAGTCACCACAGGCTGTCCTGTGAAGCACAGCTGTTGTTCCTAATTCTGTCACTAATTTCAATGCACGTGTTCTATCCATCATGGGAACCGATCAAAACTGAGCAGCACTTCTTGTGAGAGTCCATGCACAGAGAAGAGAATCATGGAATCCCACAATGGTTCGGGTTGGAAGGGACTTTAGGATCATCCAGTTCCAACCCCCTGCCATGGACAGGGATACCACTCACTGGAGCAGGTTGCTCAAGGCCCCACCCAATATATGAGATGAAAGAAATGGCTGAGGAATTGTTCTGTTGGGTGGCTGGTGTGGAGGCCACCATGGCACAGGTGTTTCTTTCCAGGATCTGTCTGCAGACTGTCAATTGGGCTCTTGGGGATTGTATGCCAGAAGACAAAATGCAATTTGTACAAATAAATAGCAGAGTTATTCCCAATGTCATTTAATTCTGGTTAATATCCTGTTAAATATTTAAAAAAATAGAACCAGCAAGACTGGGAACTCCTCTAAAGTTTAAACCAGCAAATAATAGCCATTTGTAGAGTGATTGATTTGCTGAGTCTTACTGAGTGCTTTAAATATATCAGGGTCAGGTTATCTGTGCCAACCCAAAATTCAGATAGGAGGCTTACGACATGTAGATATGGACTTGTTCGAGTCATGAAGGAAAGTTCTGTCAAGTGTTTCCCACACCTCCAGCAAGATATAAAAGTTGAAGGTCTCTGAGATTTCCCCACGTTTTATTCTGCTGCGTCTTGTTCTCATCCGAAAGAAAAATGAAGAGGCTTGTGAGTATCTCCATTTCTGTTGAACTTTTAATACTGTATGTTCCTAATTCTTAGAAGCAAAAGGAAAGAGGAGAAGATGCTCAAGTAACACAGTACAGGGTACAGTGTGTTGTTTCTTTGGTGGTTCAGTAAGAAACCTGCATTCCTTGGGTCAGTGCAGTCTGCTGCAGCATCACTTGAGCAAAGAGTGAAGAACTGGTTACTGTTCACAAGGGGAGTTTATTTGTGATTTAATAATTGCAGTTGTAGAGGTAAATCAAGAAGTAATGAGGCATCAAGGAGGGACTTCTGAAAATACAAAAAAATTTAAGGTTAAGTTATTCTGCTTTTTCAGTTACAGGCAAAAGAGTCCCAAATAGCGAGAAGTTTGCAACGGAGAATTGTAATTGTTTTCAACTAATATACATGTTAAATGGGTCATTTTTCAAACTGATGCTGTAGCTGCTGCCCTCAGTTCATAGTGTTTTGCAGTCACTGCCTGGTGTTTTACTGAGTGAGATGCTCATTCCTTTTACAGGCTGCAGTCCTTGTTTTGCTGGGAGTCTTCTGGGCTCAGACTTCTGCACTCAACGTAAGTAGATGATGAATCTTCTCCTGAATGTGCTCATTTAAAATGTGTTGGATGCCTGAGCAGGGGGAATAAAATAGGCAGAGAAGCACAGAAGGAACCAAGAAGTTGGTTATTGCCAAAGAAAAAGAGCTTTTGCCAGAGGTGACAGTGAAGGCAAAGAGGTGATTCTGTGCAGGTGCAGAGTAACAGGAAATCTGGGACACACAGGTCCCCTCAGCTCCTGTTAAAATTTGGAAACTGGTGCAGTCTCCTGCCAGTCCCAGATGACTGGCACGTCCCACTGTGGTTTTTCTCAACCCGCAGGAGGGCCCATTGCACAACTGATCTCCATCTCAGGAGCCTCCTGAGACTGCTCGAGGGTTGTGAAGGGATTTAGCGTTTACCTAAAGCAAGTTGGGTTTTGTTGCACCTGCTCAAGATGAAGGCAGATGATGAGCAATGACCCTGTGCTGTTTGCCACAGACCTTTGTGCTGCGGGAGCCTGGCAGTAACTATGTCACTGGGACCATGACCATCCACAGCGAGGAGCACGTCGTCGACGTCCACGTCCGCTCCGGCATCTACTCCTCCGACACCATTTTTGACTACTCCCATGTAAGTAAAGCAAAGAACCGGCCTCCACTTCGTCTCTGAGCAAGGTTTTAAACTCAGAAATTATTTTGGTCTGGTTTTACCACGTGCTGCCCTGAAACCTGTTTCTTTGAAGCCTCCCATCGCCTTTCCCCTCTTAGACCATCTCCTTGTCCCACCCATACAATGGGTTGGTTTAAAAGACTTGTAATGAAACCTGCAGTGGCACTTCATGACAGTGAGAAGAATGTCACTGCCCTTGAGGAGAGCAGAGTTGAAGATGGGCTGCCAGCACTCAGGTGCAGCAAAGTCTGCCAGAAATGATGCTTCCAGTCTTACAGGCAGACACTGGGACAGGATTCCATTCCCGGAGGTGACAATGCAAATGCAGAGTCATCCCACAGCAGCCTGTGTGGCCACTCGGGGTTTCTTCTGGATTGCCCTAAAGTGGAGACCATCAACCATCATCAGTTTTAGCCAGTTTTAGTTAAATATTTAACCGTCATTCTTTTCCTCCCAGGGGTATATTGCCACCAGGCTGTTCTCCCGAAATGCCTGCTTTATCATGAAAATCAAGAAAGAAATAATCCCCGAGCTGCGCGAGATCGGCCGGTTGGCTTTTGAGAGACAGGTGAGTCTGCAGGGAACCCCTCACTGCTCACAAGGAGGGCAGGATGGATGAAGTGTGATGGGAGCTCCCCACTCTGCCTCCAAAACCAGCTGCTCTGTTGCTGTCTTAGCGATGATGGAGCTGATCTGACAAGGTAGAACTTCCAGGGAATATCATGTAGAACATTTTCGTGAGATAATGAACAATCACGGCCCCCCTGCAGTTTTAAAGTAGGCTGTCAAGGTGTCTTGAACTGTACGATCCCCAGTGCTTGAAACGGATGTAATTTGACTATTCTGAGGTGATCACAATATAAGTCTGGGCAGACCTGTCCTTTTTTCATTGTCCTGCTGATATTTTGAGCTTGACATAGCTTGAATTTTATTTTTTTTTTGCAGAACAGAGCTTAGAGATTGATTTACTTTGACCAGACATTGACTTCCCTATTCAGGCTGAGGTTTCAGAACATGACTGGAAGTATTTCTTGAAGATGGCCTGGAGTTCTGGCTCTTTTTGTGCCAACCCAGCAGTAGCACATTTACAGCAAAACTTACTGCCAATTAACATAATTCAATATGGCAGAAATATGGCTCAGGTTTGCTGTGTTGGCAGAATTATTATCTAGTGAATTTTGTTTCTGAATAGATTGAAAATATTTATTTCTCTTTAAAGACGTGGAACTTCTTTAGCTAATGTTTTTTTGTGAGACAAAGGAAGGTGATTTTCGATTTGGGAACCAAAGCTACATCACTGATGCTGTGTAACCTTTTCAGACCATGAAGGATGTTTACTCTCCAAATAATGTGTGGACCCTGTTTCAATCTGGCGACTCTGTGCTGGGGCGTTTGAAGGACTGGATTCTCTATGGCAAACACATTGAACAGCTCTGCTCGGGGCTGCCCCTCTACCAGCTCGCAACCACTGAAGGTGAGTCACAGATCAGAACACTCTGCTCTGGTCCAGTGCATAACCTGCCCCTCAAACCTTCCTGTCCTTTAAGTCCTCGTGGTATCTTTGAGCTGTGCAGACATTTCCTCCCACTCAGTTGCACCACAAATGTTTGGCACAGTTTTGGGACCTACAGGAGCCTTGAACTTGAACTGAGATTTTTTCCTAACTGGATACAGGGATCTCATCACTGATCATATCATCTTCTTGTTTCTTGTAGCACCAGAGAACACTGATGGCTGTGCCAGTGCAGGAATTCCGAGTATTTTGGGCCTCCAAATCTGTGAACAACTCATTGCAACTGGATCTTGACATTCCTGCTGCTAGGAATTGCCTGGTTTCTTTGCATGCTTTTGTGATGGAGACCGTGTTCTCCAGCTGGAACAGAGCTCGGGTGTGAGGCTCAACTTGCCTATTCAAAGCTTTGATGTATGACAGAGCTATGATATACAAATAAAGATAATGCTTTAATAATTGAGTAAAATGCTTTGCCCTTTTTATTCATCCAAAATCAGAACAGAATTAAAGTGGGCCTTGCCAGTTTTCCTGCAGAAGAGACACGTTTCCCTTTGGTTTGCTGCTGTGCTCAGGCTGCAGCCTGGCCCAGGCATTGCTTTTGCTTCATGCCAGTGAAGAATCAGAAGCTGAATAGTGGAGAACTTCACTTTGGCATCAGCACCCAGCCTCTTCAGGTGCTGGTTCACCTTAGGTACAACTGCTGGAGGGAGGGAGCAAACAGGTGAACAGAGACAAAGGAAGGGAGCAGATTGACATTGCCAACATTTGCAAATAAATGAACTGAATTCTGTGGGGCCAGTGGGGGTTTGCAGTGGTTTGAATGAGTGCAGAGAGGTTTTGTTTTGCCATTTTCAAACCTGGATAGAGGAGACTGTCCCAGTCCTAAAAAATTTGTCACCTGGAATGAAGTTTCCCTTTCACACAATGCCAGGGCACAGAGAGCTGTGACCACTTGCTGAGTGTCCCACATTGGACAGTGGTTTGTGTCAGGGGCTGATGGAAATACAGGATGAGGCAGCACTGCTGCCACCTCCCTGCTCTTGTGCTGATTCCAGGGAATGGTGGAACTCCCACATCCTTTCCATCAGTGCTTGGAAGGGGTGGATATGTTGGGGCTGAAGACTGAATATTTACTCTTTACTGGAGCCTTGGGTGGGTGCCAGAGGACAAGACATTCCTTTGGAGAAAACGGGCTCCAGGTCTGCAAGTTGTTATTTTCAAATCAGACTCCTGGTCAAACCATCTGCTATTTATTAAAGGAGCATTTCACCATATGGTGAAAGCTGTCCTTTTGGATTATTTGTATCCAGAACAGGCTGCGGGTTCTTGGTGAGCCAAAGAATGTTTCTGGAGAGTCAAATTTTGGTGATTAAATCCAGGAATACTTGTTTTATGTTCTATGAACTCTGAAACAAGCCTCAATACCTCATTATCTGCCATTGAATTCTGAGTTAGGGAGTTGTGTTCCTGCCCTTCAAGTACTCAAAAATGGAAGAAGATCGTTTCTAACTTTAATTTTGGTTGCCAGTCTCATTGTATCAGTCAGACCTGTGAGGAACATATTTGCATTTCGACTGCTGTGTTTGTTGTTTGGTAAATAAAGCTCCAGCTCTCCATCCACTCACAGCACCTCCAGTGCCCACGTGTCTAGCTCACAGGAAACCTCTGGGTGCAGAACCCCGAGGCAAATCTGTTGTGGTGTTGCTGCACCTTTTGGGGTCCAGCTCACAACAAAGACAGAAGGAAGTGCAGGAAGAATCATAAACCAAACAACCCTCGTGGCCATGTTCTGCTTCCCCCAGTGTTTTACAGGGTGGTCTGTTCCCACGTGAGCACACACGGGCGAGTTGCAGCTCTGAATTTACTGCCCTTGAGCCCAGGCCTGTTGGTATCACCAACAGCCTGAAAGGTCCTGCTGGAAAAGGTTGCAGAGCAAAAGAAATTTATTCCCAATTTAAAATAACTAATTACAGGGCAAACAGGAATGTACACCCAGCTCTGAACAAAGCAGAGAAAAGGACATATGCAGGAGAAAGAAATTTGATATTTTATTTATTGACACTATATTTGCCCTTGTGATTTCCTGCCATTTCACTCTTTGCTGACTAGGCCACAGTTTACAGTATGTTCTGTGTACCTGTATTACACTGTAATTAATCTATTTTTCTTATCTTGCAGGTGGTTGATATTATTACTGAACTACAGGGAAAGACCAAGGAGGTAAAAAGCAGCAACAGGTAAAGTGTCCCTGAAGATCAGGTCCATCTGTTGCCTTAAATAACTGTAGCCTGAAAATGTTGGCAATCTTTAAATCAGTCTGTCAGCAAAGGGTCTGCTCTGAATGGTCATGATCCAAAGGAAATCACAGAATCATGGAATTGTAAAGTTTGGGAAAGACCTTTAAGTTCACCAAGTCCAACCATCAACCAGCACCACCACCATGTTCACCACTAAACCACTCAAGTGCCACATCCAAACATTTTTTGAACACCTCCAGGAATTGTGACTCCACCACTGCCCAGAACAGCCTATTCCAATACTTAAAAACCCTTTTCATGAAGGAATTTCCCCAATATCCAACCTGACTCTCCCCTGGCACAGCTGGAGGCCGTTCCCTCTCCTCCTGTCCCTTGTTCCCTGGGAGCAGAGCCCGAACCCCCCTGGCTCCCCCCTCCTGTCAGGGGGTTGCAGAGCCAGAAGGTCCCCCCTGAGCCTCCTTTTCTCCAGGCTGAGCACCCCCAGCTCCCTCAGATGCTCCTGCTGCTCCAGACCCTTCCCCAGCTCCGTTCCCTTCCCTGGACACCTCCAGCCCATCAATGTCTTTCTTTGTCACAAGGGGCCCAAAGTTGAATATATTAATATATTCGACCTTTAATTTTAATTCTCAATTAACTTAGACATGCTCTATATGATACAAAACATCTGTCCTAGACCCCCTTGGGTATCAGTAGCTCTGTGAGTTGTCTGTTGGGAAGGATCTTTTTGCATTGTGATCCATGAGATTTTTCCACTGGGATGGATGGAAAATTCCCACTGATTTCCATGGGAGGCACCCACAGAGCACTGCAGCCCTACACCTCAGAAACAGTGGTGGAGTCATGTTCTCAGGAGCAATCAGAGCGTGGCCCGATAACCGCCCAAGGTTAATGTGCAGGTGGAGAAGGGGAAGCTTGTTGGCTCTAAGCTCAAGGTTAACACCTTGGAAGCAGCAGAGCCACTGGTACCTGCACCAGGGGAGGGGCAGGGCTGCCCTGATCCCACCAGCACTGCAATCCAGAGCTGTCCCAAAAATGAAAAAGGAGCCAGTGCACCAGCTCAGATCCTAAAAACATATTGGCTGGAAGAGTCCAGGGAGGAAGAGTGTCAGGATGTGACTCGTGATCTTAGAAGTTACCTGATCTTTCCAAGAGCTTCTCTCCACCAAATTAATATGCACATTTTGGAAGTTTACCTGCCTTCTCAGTCAGGCTTGTTCTGTAAAAAGTGGGGAATTTGTTTTTTGTGGAAGAGAGCTCGGTGGGAGTGTGTCTGGGTGTGCCTGAGGGAGTGTGCATTGGTAAATTAAAACAATATATGTCCCTGGCTGGGATATCAGGACAATGCTAATTGTTTTATCCCTGGCTGGGATATCAGGACAATGCTGATTGTTTGCTCCCAGCTTTTTGTAAAAAGCCTGGAAGGTGTTTGAAGGCACGTCTGGAATCCAAGCAATGGTATCGTTGGATGCCACTGACAGGCAGCTGAAACATGTCAGGCATTTGGGGCAGGCAGGATGAGCCCAGACTGGTCACATCTCCACTCCTGTGCATCAAACTTCCCTCATCCCTGTGGGCAGGAAGCCTCTGTGATCCCTCACTGCCAAGGACATCGATTTTTCTGGTCACCTGTGCTGCACATTGATCCGAGATGCTTTCGCCCCTGAACCCATTCCCAAAAACCTCCCAGCTCCTCAGTTTCCCAGGGTACAAGGCTGTTGACCAAGGCCAGAGTATGACACCTTCACCAGTTGTGATCATTTCAAAACTAGAGCTCAGTGTGGAAACTCTTACCCTGGAGAGCAGCACCTTTTTAATTTAAGGCACTGCTTACATCAGGAGCAATGGCAGGTTTTCATATACCTTGTCTGAGATGTGAAAGCAAGTTTTCCAATTAGTATCAAGTCATGAAAAGGCACAATTAGTAACATTGGCAAATTTTCTCTTATAGGACGAATTTTCACTGGCAGAATAAAATTAAGCCAGACTGGAGAATCAAACTTGCTGTTTAAAATCAGAATTGTGTGGGCTGGGCTGGCAGGCCAAAGGTGTGAATGAGTGTCCTTGTCTGCTGGGTCTTTCCACCCTGTTTGTACTGACAGGGCATAGTTGTGAGGGGGAAAAAAATCATCCCTTCACTTCAGAAGGCAAAAAGCTTTGCCTTTGGAGTGGGTGTGTGTAACCAGCAAGGAGCAAATTGCTGTGGTTGAGCACTGAACGACACAGCAAGATCCACGTGCAAGAGGAAAAGAGGGAACATCCCTCAGTTCAGTTTGACTCAAGGTGCCTCACCATAAATACTCAGATTATAAATTATTAGGAGGTGAGCTGGGGTTTGCACCGTTATTTTTTTAAACTGAGTGGTTGTCTTAGCCAGGTTTCCAAGGAATACAGCCCAGTCCTGGTGGACACATTGCTCTCTACTCGAACCAAGCACGAATGAGATTCCCACTGACCACTAGATGGCAAATTGTTACAGCAACCTCAACGTGGTTTTCTTACTGCAGTCTGGATCTCGCTGTCATTAGGCTGGTAAAAGCACCGATTAGGAAAAAACATAAATTAAAAATAAAATGCAATTAATCCCTATCAACCTGTTCCCCAGAAAATAAAAGCAGAGTCAGGATACAGGGGATTAGGATTCTGTCTTTCAGATTTCTCAACCAGTGTAATGTTTATTTTCATATGTAATTATTCCCCACTCAGTGATTAACTAAAGTAATTTTTGATGTTTTAATATTTTTAATTTTTCTCTTTAATAGATATGTGTATGTATATATTCCATTATATAATAAGACATTGCGTTTGCATGAAGTTTATTAATCAAATACTCCAAAGTGTTCCACGTAGCAAAGATTCCCAAGCTCTAACGTGAATGAGTGAAGTCTTTTCCCTTTCAGAAAAGGGACACAGCAACGGGTGAAGGATCAATCTGATAAAGGCCAGTCCCAGGTTGACCATGAGCACAGGTAAGGGGGAACAGCCCCAACACTCCTGAATTTTTATCTCTCTCCTTATCACCACCCTGTTGCCACCAAGAGAAATCCAAGCAGCCTCCTCTGTCTCTGCCCCTGCCCACTCCTGCTCAGCCAGGCTCCTTCCTTGGGAATGAAGAACCCACAGAGGGGTTATGTGGCTTTTGATGTGGGGTTTT